GTGTGTGTGTGTGTGTGTGTGTGTGTGTATGGATTTGTTTTTGGTGACGTTTGGGGGCAATTTTAAGACAAAACGCCTTCATTTGGGGACAAAAGTGGAGTCTCCATTTGGTTTAAATGCCATTTGTGGGTTGGGGGTTGGGTTTAGGACCAAGGTGTGAATTGAGTTTAGGTTAGTTTTCGGGTCAGGAAGGTACCTGTGAGGTTAGCCTTAGGGTTTGTGGTCAGGGTTAGGCAATGTAATGGAAGTCAATGGAATGTCCCCAAATGGATAGACGACACAGCACAGTTACCAACACAAATAGTGTGTTTGCCGTCTGTGCATCCATCCATTTTCTGCCACTTATCTGGGGTTGGGTCTCGGGGGCAGCAGCCTGAGCAGAGAGACCCAGACTTTCCTTCTCTCCAGCCACTTGGACCAGCTCCTCTGGGGGAATCCCAAGGTGTTCCCAGGCTAGCTGAGAAACATGGTCCCTCCAGAGTGTCCTGGGTCTTCCTCTGGGCCTCCTCCCAATGGGACTTGTCTGGAACACCTCATCAGGGAGGCGTCCARGAGGCATCCTAACCAGATGCCCGAGCCACCTCAACTGGCTCCTCTTGACGTGGAGGAGCAGCGGCTTTACTCTGAGTCCCTCCTGGATGACTGAGCTTCTCACCTTATCTCTAAGGGAGAGCCCAGACACCCTGCAGAGGAAACTAATTCCAGCCGCTTGTATCTGTGATCTCATTCTTTCGGTCACTACCCAAAGCTCCTGACCAYAGATGAGGGTAGGAACGTAGACCGACCGGTAAAACAAGAGCTTTGCTTTCTGGCTCAGCTCTCTCTTCACCACGACAAACAGGTACAGTGCCTGAATCACTGCAGATGCAGCACCAGTCCACCTGTCAATCTCCCTCTCCATTCTTCCCTCAATCGTGAACAAGAACCTGAGATACTTAAACTCCTCCACTTGGGGCAGGACCTCCTCGCCGACCCAGAGAAGGCACCGTACCGGTTTCTGGCTCAAGACCGTGGTCTCAGATTTGGAGGCACTGATCCTCATCCTGGTGTGTTTGCCCCGGTAAGATAAATTGATACATGTAAATTTGAAAGATTTGTGTTTTGCAACATTCTGTTAGTAAATTGTTTAAATATCTCCATTTTCTTCATAAACTCGCACAGACAAGGAAAAAAAAGTTAACAAATAAAGCCGACATCATCACCATAGTTCCAGACAGTAATCTCTAAGTGGAGTTTCAGGGTTGTTGTTTTTTTTTGCGCAGCAAACATAAAGGAGCCCAGCTATGCTTAAACTAGGTTAGGTTTAGATATGTATTGGACTCATGGGGTTTAAGATAAGGAGTCAGGGTTAGGCTTTAGAAATGACAGGTAAATGAATGAAAGTCAATGCAAAGTCCCTATGAGGATAGAAGAACAAAGATGTGTGTGTTCATTTGTGTGTAGCATTAGCAAAAGGCCTTGTGGATAGCTGCACAGTTTTGTCAGAAACTTGCAGAAAGTAGTCATCAGGTGTAGAGCTATTCAGCTGATTAACCTTTGAAGTCAACTCCTTTCAGTAATAGCTGCCACAGCTAGGCAAGATTAGAAAACACTAAATGGCTWCCTTATTAAATTCTACAGTATACAATTTGAGAGGTGGTCTAAAATTTGGGGAGGTAGTATTTGAACGTCATTCAGAACACAAACTCTAAAGGTTACACATTAAAATTCTAGCAATGTTTGAATCAACAGGTCATTGCCTCCAAAATATTTTAGGAACCCCCTAACACATGCACAAAATTAATGTACATGTAGAAATGATTTACTTTCAGGGCCAACCCAATTTAAGCTGCTGCCACCAGAGCTAAGTGATCAGAGTTAGAACATTTGAAGCAGATCTATGATGGGGTCCTAGAACAAATTCTATACAAAACATGTTCATTTGATTTAATGCACAGAATGAATCTCAGAGAGCGAGATTTCACCTTTTCAGTTCTACTTGTTCTGAGCTCTTCAGAACGTCCTGTTATGCAAATAAGGTGCTGTTGGCAACCTCCCAATAACCCTTTGTTTACGTTAGCYCCGCCCTCCCAACATGGTGTTTATGTTAGAACTTCAGAAATGCAAAAATAAAAATGCACGTTACGGCAGCAGTAGACAGGCTGCCCACAGCGCAGCCACCCTTGGTAGGAACAGACTGGAGCGTCTGAATGAAGTCAGGCGACTTGGTGCCAGGGAGGCAAACGCGTCCTTTGGCAAGTCCTGGACCCGGCGAAGATGAACCGAGGGGCAGTCGATCCTGTGCAATGATGATATCCGCTAAGCAAAGTATCAATATTATTAGATGTGTTATTAAATATTCTTGCTACGCATCTAAATTAGTGCTGATTTTCTTTTCATATTACGAAATAATATTACCTAAAAGTAAAAAAATTAAAAGTTTTTCTTTCTTCTTTTTGTTATAGCATCCCCTAAAGGGTTAGCACCCTTAGCTCTTGCCTACATTGCCGAACAGAGGAGTCAGCCATGTATGTATGAATTAGGGACAATTCACTCATGGCTGTTATACCTGTTCAAGCCATTGGCAACACGGCATGGTCACATCCAAAAGAGGCTGGCTACACGCCCACTGCCTGGGAGGCATACAACAGGTATGCAAACGATGTCAAACTTAATTATGAACATTTCAGACATAGTTGTTTATCCATC